GTGCATGGCATTATGCATTTGTCAAAACCCATAGAACTTACATGCCAAGAGTGAACCCAAATGTAAACTATGGATTTTAGTTAGTGACAGTGTGTCAGTATTGGTTCATCAGTTGTAACAAGTACACCGCACTAGTGTAGATGTTACTGATAGAAGAAATTACGCGTGGATGGTAGAGGAAGGGAGGCATATATGGGAACTGTAATTTCTGCTCAATTTTTATGCAAACCTAAAACTGTTCTTTAAAAAAAGAGCCATCCTAGGCCGGGCGCTGTGGCTCACGCCTGTAATCCTAGCTCTTGGGAGGCCGAAGGCGGGCGGATTGCTCAAGGTCAGGAGTTCAAAACCAGCCTGAGCAAGAGTGAGACCCCGTCTCTACTATAAATAGAAATAAATTAATTGGCCAACTGATATATATATATATAAAAAATTAGCCGGGCATGGTAGCGCATGCCTGTAGTCCCAGCTACTCGGGAGGCTGAGGCAGAAGGATCACTCAAGCCCAGGAGTTTGAGGTTGCTGTGAGCTAGGCTGACGCCACGGCACTCACTCTAGCCTGGACAACAAAGTGAGACTCTGTAAAAAAAAAAAAAAAAAAAAAAAGAGCCATCCAAAATTTTAGCAACAAAATATGCTGCAGATACAAATTTTTTTTTTAGGAATTTTGTGTTACACCTCAAAAATCACATAAACTTTTCATTGTATTCCTTAACACATAAATGACTATTTTATCTTTACAATTTTCCCCCAAACTTCTCAAGACAATAGATGAACCCTACAGATATGATTCTTGTATTAAGAAGCATGGCTTCAATTGGCAGGGGTGATTGAAGTTGTATATTAAAGATGAAACAAAACAGTGAGATTGGCCTCTATCAAAAAATCCCAAAACAACAAATGCTGGCAAGGATGCAGAGAGACAAGAACACTCTTATGCTGTTGGTGGGACTGCAAATTAGTGCAACCTCTGTGGAAAAGAATTTGGAGATAACCTCACAGAGCTAAAAATAGAAATACCATTCAATCCAGCAATAGCACTATTAGGCATCTACCCAAAGGAGCAAAAGACATTCTCAAATGTTTATGGCAACACAATTCACTATTGCAAAGATATGGAAACAACCTAAGTGCCTGTCAATTCGTGAGTGGATGATTAAAATTCGGTATATATATATAATGGAATATTACTCAATTATAAGAAACGACAGTGATCTAGCACTTCTTTTATTTTCCTGGATTGAGCTTGAGCCCGTTATCCAAAGTGAGGTAACACAAGATTGGAAGAATAGGTTTCACTTGTACTCACCATCAAATTGGTACTGACTAACACTATGGTGCTTACAAGATAGTACTGTTCTCCAGGGATGGGGGGTTGGGGGAGTAAATTCACAACTGTAGGACATGGTTAGCGTTGTGGAGGGGAAGGGCAGCCCTCTAACACCCGCTAGGGAGAGGCAATGATATAAAATGTAACTAAAATGTTTGTACCCTCATAGTATTCTGAAATAAAAGAAAAAAATTAAACCAGTACAATGATGAGCAACCAATTTCTCCTGCAACCCAGATATTTTTTCATCCTTATTTTCATTTCCCAGTATTCATACAGTGGTATATTCACTACTTTTAACTCACTTAGTCAGCCTTCATTTTGTATGTGGAAGACTTTGCAATAGTCATAGTGAGAAATAGTTGATAAAACCACTTTTGTGGATATTACAGTCTAGACAAGAGAAATATACTTTAATATGAAAGTAAGTTATACCAAGATGAAAACAGAGGTGAAAATTAAGCCTGCTGAGGAGATAGACAAAATAAATGGAGGGACCTGGGCTTGGTAGGTCTAGATGAATCTTTAAACAACAGGCACAGTTGGATGGGTGCCCCTATCGTTAGGAGCACAGACGTTTTTCTGGATGTCATTGAGGCCCAGTATGACCTTTACTCTGTCATCAATACACATTCCTCTTTTTGGTGTGCAGTGTTTACACTACAACACGGATACTTTAAGGCTGTTTGGGCACTTGTTCATGTAGATACTCAGACATGTGGACCCAAATGGTGCCTAAGGAGTCCTCTTGAAACCACGGGAGCACAGTCACAGGACTAGTGTCCTTGTTCGTGTTTCCCAGGCATTTTGTTTTTCCTCTGAAGACCATGACTGAAATCTTTAATCTCACGCAAGAGTTAGTCACTGAGAACAGATTTCTTAGCTCTCTGCTTGCTGGGGACAAGCGAGCGTCCTGTTCCCAGAGAGCCCTAGGAGCGTGGTCCTCCCTCCACAGGTGACAGAGTAAAAAGAATATATACAGGTTAGGGTTTCTGGGTCAATCTTGAATTTGCATCTTCTACTTTCTAGCTAGTGGACCTTGGGCAAGTCACTGTACCCACATCCTAGCTTACTTAACTGCAAAGTCAGGAAAATATCTCAGATTACATGGAATAAAAGGTAGGATGTGCCGAGCACATGAGAGGTGCTCGAATAAGTATCAGCTTGTTCCCCTCCTTCCCCCTGCCCGTGTACTAAAATTTCACAGCCAACTCATGTGTTCATCCATTTATTGAGTATTTAATATATATGTAATGAGCACCTGCTGTGAGGCAAACCCTTTGTTAGCTGGTGGTGACATGAGTGCAAGTGAGACAGGTGAGCCCATGACTTCAGGAGCCCTAGAGCGTCAGGGCAGTTCACCCTGTATCTCCGCTGTCAGTTCCCACCACTGTTTTTGGCCAAAGAGTTAATGTTTAAAATACTTGGTGACTGCTTTTTTGGCACCACTTTGAATAATGACTGGTTTCAGGTACACTGAGTCAGACAAGTACTTATTGCATAAAGTTTTAAAGTCTACACACTCAGTGGCTCACAAGTTCACATTAAGTACTTAGAACCAAAACTGGTCAGGGTTTTGTTGCACTTACTGTGACAACAGATCATATTTAGAAAAATGCATGTGGCATGTATCATCTTGGGCAGACAATTCATGAAACTGGTTATTCTGTGCCTTTAGAATCCACGTAAATGTTTTTCCCTTTGTCTTTTATACGTTTTCTTGTTTCCATCTCTGTTTTATTTGGAGGGCGGGTGGTTAAAATTAATGCTGGGCCAGATTCTGATTTTGACATTCTCTCAGGTTTAATGTAATGTTCCCATGTATCTCTAACCTTTCTGTTCCCAATGTCGGGAAACTCTCTCCTCTTTAAGAAAAGCTGTATCCATAGAAAAGTTAAATATTTGAGTAATTTTTCGTAGTACAGAAGGGACCTTCCTTTTTTAAAAAAAGTTATTTTAGTACTCCTTTAAGAATAAAATTATTTTAGAATGCAGTTAAAGAATAAATTCATTTACCTAAATTTAATTTGCCAACTTTTCTCCTACACAAAAGCATTAAAAACAGAGTGGGATGGCAAAATTTTCATCCTAAAGAGAAAATTTTCTAGAGTCTCTAATTTCAAGAGAATAAAACTATCCTATAACTCTGTGCTCTTTAAAAACAATCATTAACAGATTGCATCAAACTAAAATGGCTCTGTACAGCAAAGGAAATTACCAACAGAATGGAGAGACAACCTACAGAATGGGAGAACAATATTTCCGACCTGTACCTCCTGATAAGTTTTTTTTTGTTAATGTCCAAAACATGAGAAACTCAACCAACTCGATAGCAAGAAAACAAATAACCCAGTTTCAAAAAATGGGCAAAGGCCCTGAATAGACATTTTTCCTAAGAAGGTATATGAAAAGGTATGCAACACTACCAATTGTCAGGGAAATGCAAATCAAAACCACAATGAGATATCACCTCAAACTGATTATCAAAAACACAAAGATAACAAGTGTTGATGAGGGTTTGGATAAGAGGACCCCTTATGTTGGTGGAATGTAAATTGGTACAGTCACTATTGAAAACAGAATGGAGGTTCCTCAAAAAATTAAAGATAGAACTACTGTATGATCCAATAATCCCACTTCTGGGTATATATCCAAATGAAATGAAATCAGTATGTTGAAGAGCTGTCTGCTCTCCCATTTCATTACAGCATTATTCATAATAGCCAAAATATGAAATCAACCTAAGCATCGTCGATAAATGAATGGATAAAAAATTACAGTGTAGTTATATATATATGTACACACACATACACAATGGAATATTATTCTGCCTTACAAAAGAAGGAAATCTTGCCATTTGGGACAACACAGATGAGCCCAGAGCACATTAGGCTAAGGGAGATAAGCCAGGCACAGAAAGACAAATACTACATGAACTCACTCACATGTGGACTCTAAAAGTGTTGAACTCATGGAAGCAGAGAGTAAAATGGTGGTTTCTGGGGGCTGGAGGGTGGGTAAAATGGAAAGATGTTGGCCAAAATTTCAGTTATGCAGGATAAATAAGTTACGGAGACCTAGTGTACAGCAAAGTCATGTAGTTTATAATACTGTATCATATACCTGAAATTTGCTAAGAGAGTAGGTCTTGAGTGTTCTCAACACTCACTCACACACACACACACACACACACACACACACACACGGTGATTATGATTATGGTAATCATTTCATGATTATGGTAATCATTTCACAGTGTATTAAGCAATCAATATGGTATACGTTAAATACAAAAATGTTTGTCTGTTATACCCCAATAAACCTGGAAAAAATTTAAATAAATAAAACAATCATTAACAGACTCAATTGGTGATCTTCTGTGGAAGATGATGAGAGCAGGGCGTTGGTAGGACGTGTACATGAACACACTATGTGCACCTCTACCATCATAGGTTCTTTGCTGTGATACCCACGCAAGGGCCCCGTGACCTCCTTCCTATTGTAAAACAACCTGGGCAGCACTAATAAGGTGGTTATGTTCCTTCCCTCATTGGGATAACCTAGATGAGATTACTTTATCAAAGACTTTCACCTCCCTTTCTATATGTCTTTAGAAGATTGCTCTGTTCTCCAGGACTTAACTTCATAGCTACTCTTTTTTTCCCTCTTTCAGAAATTACGATGGTGGACACAGAGATGCCCTTTTGGCCCACCAACTTTGGGATCAGCTCCGTGGATCTTTCCATGATGGACGACCACCCCCACTCCTTTGACATCAAGCCCTTCACCACTGTTGATTTCTCCAGTATCTCTAGTCCACACTATGAAGACATCCCATACACAAGAGCGGACCCAATGGTTGCTGATTATAAGTATGACCTGAAACTCCAAGAGTACCAAAGTATGATGTTTATTTTCGCTTTTCAGACTACTGAGACTGGACTCAGACTAATCTCTCAATAACCCTGGAATAAATACTGTTCCAAAGACTAAAACTCTATAGAGAAGGCACTTACCATTCATTTATTCATCCTTTTTTTCTATGAAATATTAGGTGTCTACAATATGCCAAAAAGGAAGGTGGTCCCAGGTCACTCTTTTCCTTTTTTCCCCACTTCTTCCTTCCTCACTTCTTTCTTTCTTTTCTTGTTTTCTTCCTTCTTAACATTTCCTAGCATTATTCCTCTGCCAATTGTTTCTTAGGCTAAGAGTCCATCATCCAAACTTTGAATTCTTTTGGCCCTTTATAAGTTAATAGGTAACAGTTCCAAGTTACCTTGTATAACTCATCATAGTAAATTACTATTACTATAGTCCATTTTTTTTTCTGTCATTGGAGAAATTTATACTGAAACCTATTTTTCAACACAAATTTGTATTTTAACACTGTAGCCTATTGATAAAGCTTCATGCCATTAACTACATTAACATCAAGCATCAGACCCAAGAAAAACTAGAACTGCACTTTTCGAGATAAAATATATTTCTGCGATGCTATTTCCTTGATTTTTATCTTGTGTGGGCTGACATGCTCATTCTCCAAAGCCACCGCTATGTAATTGGCAACCATTACTTGACAATAAGTAAGAATTTCCTGTATTTCTAGTTTTTTTTTTTTAGATAAATGATACACTTGGTTATGTATATCTGTGTGGTTTTCAGTTAGAGCCTAATATTGAAATGTAATGGGCCTGAACCTAACCAGTAAAAGGTAGTGCTTACTTTTCTATAGATTCTCCCACCCTCTATCAGATTATTTTACAAATGACCTCCTTTAACTCAACACTGATGGTAAACTGGGCTCTTATTTTCATGTGCCTGCAAGCTGGGCACGCCACGACCTTTTCACAGCAACGTTCTTTTGCAGGAGTGGTTTAAAAATACTTCTAAAATGCAACATTTAAATAAAATATATAATTAATATCATGAGGAATGCCAAATGCATCACGTTTCCTAGCAAAATAAGCTTCCTTGTGTCAAATCCTGCATATTGTCTGTTAGAGCTATAGCATTGCGGGGCGTTGAGGGCTTATAGAACTACAGACTTAGTTCCCAAACCCATTTTATTTTTACAGGTGAGGCTCAGAGATGTTGTGACTTGCCTATAATTACAAAGACTGCTTTTTCTTGCCTTAACTCCGGTGTTTGTTCATGTTCCATTGTGCTTCTACACTGAAATAATAAGAACATGACATGAAAATGTCCTATGGTGACTTGCCCTGTTGCCTTTTTAGGGTTGTTTTTCGTGTGGTAATTGTCCCCTCACATTCTCAACACACAGGTGCCATCAAAGTGGAGCCTGCGTCCCCACCTTACTATTCTGAAAAGTCTCAGCTCTGCAGCAAGCCCCATGAAGAGCCCCCCAGCGCCCTCGTGGCGATTGAGTGCCGGGTGTGTGGGGACAAAGCTTCCGGGTTCCACTACGGAGTCCACGCGTGCGAAGGGTGCAAGGTACAAAAGAGAGAACTCTTACGAGAACTTCTCTGCCTGTTATTTCATTTCTGGTTGCAGACACTTTTCAAGGAGTTGAGATAAAATTGTCAAACATTTTTTTTTTTTTGGCAGAGCCGCTTCTCTAAATGATAGAATATTTGCAAACTGATAAAAGCAGGATGGCTTTGCCCTACTTCCCTTTCTCCAAATTGGTTTTTGAGACGCTGATCTAAATCTTGCAGATTTTTACAAAAAGGTGACTTCTCCAAGGTGTCATGTTAAGACAGTGATAAGCCAGCACCAGGACCCAGATTTCCTGAATTCTCTAGTGTTCTTTTCACTATACTGTGTAATATTTTATATATGTAAGGTTTGACACGTTGTTTATGTCTGTGTATCATTTTATCTTTTAGAGCAGTCCTATGAGGTTTAGCATAATTCCTACATCTGCAATGGCCTCATTGCTGATGTAGGAATTATGGATCAGCAAGACTTGCCCAGGGTCATCTGTTAGTCTGTAGCAGGTCTAGGTCTGGGCTGTGACTCCTTAGATTGTGTTGACTCCAGAACCAGTGTTCTGTTTCCTTATTCCAGCATCAGTGTGGGCCGCGTGTTGCGGACAGGCAAGCAGGTACAACAGCTTTGGAAAGGAGATACTGTTTGTCTTCACCTCCTTCCTTTGTGAAAAAAGAGTATTTTTGAAAAGTCAGACATTTAGTAATATGCTGCTTAATTATTAAGAAAATAATGTTAATCTACTCATTTTAATATACAATCTTTTAAAACAATTTTAATATACTCAATGAATAAAATAGGATTTATTATATTCTCCAGGGCACAGAATAAATTATTCATAAATATTTACCTTATAAAAAAACATGGCCTCAGTTGAGCTTTTTATTCAGAATAAAGAAACAGAACAGCAGTTAGGGAAGAGGTCGGACATCTGGGTTTCTAACTGGATCATGAGCCAAACAAGGAAACTGACTTTTATGGAATTTTTACTAGGGAGCAGATCTCATGCAGGGTACCTTTACATAGATCATTATTAGACCATATTCTACCTAAGTTTTTGCATCTATAAAATGATAGAGTCGAATTGGATGTTCTCTAAAGTCCCTTCAATACAAACCGTTTATTGCTCTAAAGGCAACCTAGTACAGTGAAAAGAGGTGAACTAGTAGTCAGCTCTGCTACTTGCCAAAGTCACTAGCCAGTGACATGCACACTGTGTCCCTCAGTCCCCGTGTGTAAAGTGACTTGGTTAGATTGGCTCCCCGAGGTCTCATTCATCACTAAGGTCTTTAATTTCAAAATGACTCCTTAAAGTACTTATTGGCAAGAGATGCTTTTATTTAAAACATTAAAACCCATTCATTCTGTGATTAAAACCAAGCTAAAAAAAATGTATGCTTTTATATGAAATCACTATATGTAGTTAATTATCTAAGATCTTGGTAAGTAGTAAGAGCATATCATTTTATTGAGTTAGATTTATACCATTTTTGAGCGAGTAAATTGTTGCTAAATTCTGAGCCATATTTAACTGAAGAAACCATTCAGTTTTGGTCATGTTGATAATTTATGTTAATAAATAAAAGCAGCACGATTTGCTAAGTTTCCACAATAAGTTATTGTTTTTTATTAGCTGGTAAAGCACTTACAAAACTAGAACCTTTAAATTATTCTACCATGATCCTATTAGTCACATATTTGTGGAGAGCTAAAGTTACTAAGAATAGCTGAAAATCAGAAGACAGAAACATTGTCAGTAGTTAGTTATAGTGATAAATCTAAGTTCCAAGGACACCAAAACTTAAAAAAGGAAGCAAGCAAAAGAGAAAAGTAGCAAAAAGAAGAGAGAAGAGGAAGAAAGAAATCCAAGAGCCTTCAAGTTAGGATTAGGAAGGGTAGAAGACAGAGATGGAGAATAAACACCTAGTAAAACCTGAAAAATACAGGGGAGTCCTTAACCTACCCCAGATTTAAAAAAAAAAAATTTAATGAAAAACAACAGAAGAAATTAATAGTATTGTATACTAACCTGCAGTAATTCACAAACCATCCAAAATGTGGATTACAAAATTCCTAGACTAAAATACAAAGAAAATGATCTCACTTGGGAAGGGAAAATAGACATCTATTAATATACATTTTAAAAATGAGAATAAGAAAAATGCAACCATATCATCTGGCTTCTCCAAGTATAAGTTAGCATTCTCAAAGTGTGGTCTGGGGACCCCTAGGAGTCCCTAAAACATTTTCAAGACATCCATGAAGTTGAAACTATTTTCATAATAATAATAAATTGTTATATACCTTTTTCACTCTCATTCTCTCAGGGGTATAATTGTAGTATCTGGAAGCTACATGATCTGGGCTGATGACATAACTCTAGTGGCTAATGAAATGTTTGCTTTCATGTTCTTGTGCATAATAATTTCTCAGTTTAATTTCTAGTATGATAAACATCAGTAGAGGCAGCCCATATAAACACAAGCTCTTTGAGTCTCTAATAATTTTTAGCAGAGTGAAGGGGCCCTGAGACCAAAAGGTTTGAGAACCACCATTATAAAATATTGAATCTGAAGGAATACAATTACTCATTTTTTGCTTCTTTGGAACTAAACAAAACTCCTGCCACATTCTGAATACAGCCACATTAGACCAGTGGCTTTCAGTAATCAAAGATATCTCCGTAGGTCATCAGTACTCAATGAAAAGTCAGGAAAATGAAGTTAGCAAATGTGTTCAACTCATCTGCATTTATTTTCTGAAAGGTGCTTTGGCAGTTTAACATTTGCCATTTCAGTAGAATGTGAATTATACCCATAATTAAAATATTGTTGATCACAAAGCTGCAGACTAATTTATGGATTGAAAAGAATAGTTATATTGCATAAGACAGATGTTGGTAGGACTTCTTAAACAATTTTACAGTGCAGATGGAAAAGGTTTCTATTACTGATTCTTGCCAAAATTCAATCAAACAGTTGGGGATGAATAGATTGGGTTTGGATTGAAGTGAAATAGTGACAGATTCTTGGGTGTGTTAATATTACAAACTTACATAAAATAAAACCTTTAGCTACTGAGAGATATATATACTTTAGAGCTTGCACAGCTATCATTTACTTATTGCCTATAAATTGGACACATTTTTTTTCTTTAGTAGGTTTCATGCTATTTTTGCATCTCTAGTGAAAGATCATTTTAGAACCATAAGGTTACCTAAAGATATAAGTAAGTGTAATCTACCATACACTACAATGTAGTCTGCTTTTGTATTTCTACGTAGGACCTTATCTCAGGAAGGATTTTAATCTATTAAAATCTAATAGTAATCTAATTGAAATAGATGAAAATCTATTTAATCAAATAAATAGTAAAAATAAAAAAAAAGAAAATCTATTTAATCTAATAAGCCATTCATAGCTTATTGATTCAGCTTCTATGTGCCAGAACCACTTCATGGGAAAGCAGAACATAGGTCCAACATGGGACTTTTAATCTCATTGTAAAATCAATACCGCTTGTAGGTGTCATTGCCCCTGATGTTTTGTTAAAAGTAAGCAGTTGAGAAGAGGTTGGAAAAAATTTTTAAATGATACCAAAAAAAAACAAAACAAACAAAAAAAACCATAGGAATGACTTTCACACAGACAAATGTGAAGACTTTAGAATAAATATATACACAAAAAATTTTTCTGAAATGGTGACTGATGCATCTCCATCACACCGACTAACAGACTTCGTGATGATCAGAAGAATAAGTTGTTTAAAATGCATTATTTTAGGAACTCTGAAATAATAAAGAAGAATGTTGTTAAAGAGAGTTTATCAGTAATATGAAGAAACTTGGGAGAAGCTGGCCTCATTCTTCACATCAATAAATAATTTTACAGAAAACACTCAGTAATACCCTACATCTTCCCTCTAGGTTCCTTGAGTTGGATGACAAGGAGACAGGTGGTTATCATGAACTAAGTATAAAAAAAAGAAGCAAAAGCAAGTTTCAAGGTGTTTGCTAGGGTCTGTATATATTCAGTTCAAGATTTTATGTACATATACAGTACATAAATGATATTTAGAATAATTGTCCTTTAACATTGAAAGACCTAGAATCATCACAAAAAGAATGTGATACACATTTGAAAGGCATCAGATGAGTCAAGTAAAAAATTTGCATTTAAGGGTTAAACTTAACATAATTCTCTTGTCAAAAAGCCTTCCTCCCTTAGCCATGCCAAATAACTGAATGTTCTGTGACCCATCCAACTGTCAACTGGCCAGGCAGCATTTTCAGCCCCTAATATTAGTTTTAAAAAGTGAAAATGAGAAAATAATTCAAGGAATATTATAAAGTATTTATGATCACAATGCCAAAATCAGAATTTCTCACCAATATTTATCATTGAGAACAGTTCTATACTGTTAGCCTTCTGTATATTAGCCTTCTGTTAATCAGTAAAAAAGAAAAAATACTTTTTTAATATCTAAAGGTCCTCAGAACGTTTTGAGAATAAAAGAGCCTTCAACTTCCAGGTGATTCTACATAGAGCATATTCTTTGAGATATTGCTGCTCTCATAAGATGTAAGGAAAACTCCCCAAAACAGCATCAGTGAAACAAAACAAACCAACAAACCCTAGGCCCAGAGCTGTGAACTGCAGGCACGCTTAGAAGAGCAAAGTCTTCCTCATGATGGAGGCCCGGAGAGGTGCTGGGGTACAGTTGCCCTCAAGACAGATTCCTAGGGAAGGTTCCTGCGTCATCGGTGAGGAGCTGAGTGTAGGGCTTCTGAATGAAGCCGGGATTCTCAGGGGAATCAGAGGTAGTCATAACTCAGTAGCACCCCTGGCTTTCAGCAGATGCATCTGCAAATTCTCCTTGGAGGAAAGAATTCCTAATTTAGACCCTATGAGAGTCCCCAGGTTTTTTTGTTTTGTTTTGTTTTGTTTTTTGTGTGAGACAGTGTCTTGCTTTGTTGCCCAGGCTAGAGTGAGTGCCATGGCGTCAGCCTAGCTCACAGCAACCTCAAACTCCTGGGCTCAAGCAGTCCTGCTGCCTCAGCCTCTCGCGTAGCTGGGACTATATTAGTTGGCCAATTAATTTCTTTCTACTTATAGTAGAGACGGGGTCTCACTCTTGCTTAGGCTGGTTTCGAACTCCTAACCTCGAGCAATCTGCCCGCCTCGGCCTCCCAGAGTGCTAGGATTACAGGAGTGAGCCACCACACCCGGCCGAGTCCCCATTTTTTAAGGTCAAGAAATGAGTTTGAAATAAATATCAGCAAGCATATAAGCAGTTAATCACCTTAAATGACATTCATCAAAAACCAACAACAACAACAAAAATGATACAGATTTCCCCCTCTGCCCATAGCCAGAGAAAACAGATAAATATTGGGATTGCCTGATACAGAATATAGAACAGTTATGTGTGAATTATTTAAAGAAAGAGGACAGGATCACAGCAATGAACAAGCAACAAGTAGAGTGTCAGGAATGACCAGGAAGCTTTGAAAACAAACCTAGTGAATCTTCTAAAAGTTAAAAATATAATTACTGATATGAAAATTCAGTGGAAGTGTTAGCACACTGGACACAGCAGAAGAAAGGATTACTGAACTGAAAGAGATAAGCAAAAAAATTGCTGAGAATGAGACCAACAATATGTTAAAGAATATGGCCTGTCCAGGATCTTCTGGCATTTGAAGGCTCTTTTAGTTTTTGAAGGGTTCATAGGGTGTTTGACTATGAAAAAGGCATGTCTTCTTCACGGATCAGTAGATAGAAGAGTAAAACACAGAACTGTTCTCACTAAGGAACTTTGGTAAAAAGGTTTGTTTTTACTTTTGCCAATGTAATTACATATTTTTTGTGTTATTTGGCTGCTATTCTGATTTTTGATTTTATAATCACCAGTAGTGAGTAATTAGAAGAAGATGGAAAATATAAAAGAGAAGTTCAGAAATATGAAGGCTTAGGATAAGAAAGTCTAACACCTACCCAACTGAAGCCCAGTACTGATGAGCTGGGATGCGGAAACAACATGTCCAAGAAGATAAATTAAAAGAAATCCATGCCTAAACACACTGCAGTAAAACTGCAGAATACTAGAGACAAACAAAGTATATAAAAGCAACCAAAGAGAAAAAGAAAGATCACCTGGAAGTCAGTTGACAAGCGACTTCTCAACAGCAACAATGGAAGCACAAAGATAATGGAATTCAAAGTGTTAAGAGAAAATAACTGCATAGCCAGTAATCTTTCAAGAATGAGGGTGAAATGAAAATGTTTACATGTTAAAAAAAATAAAAACAGTGAAAAAGTACATTTTAAGAATACTAAGTCATAGAGAGGAGAAGACACCTGCAGCATCCACAAGAGATAACAGATTAATATCTAGAATATATTAGAAATGTCTAAAATACAATTTAAGAAAAATATAGTTAGAAACTGGGAAGTGAAAAATTAGGGACATACAAATTGAAATCATACTTATATTCTATTTTACGCATAGTAGATATTCAAAAATTTAAAAGTCTGAGAACAACACATGTAGGAGAGACCAGAACATTCATAAACTACTTGTGGAAATGTAAACTGATAAAACCACTTTGGAAAACAATTTGGCATTTTCTTGTAAAGTTTAACATTCACACATCCAGAAACTCCATTCCTAGGTAACTCTTATGCATGTACATTGTAAAATATTTACAAGAATATTTATAGAAGCACTGCTCATAGTAGCAAAAATCAGCAACAATTCAAACATCCATCAACATGCTAATAGATTAATAAATTATAGTATCATCATAAAGTAGAATATTGTATAATTATGAAAATTAATAAATCATAGCTTCTCACTAAAAAATGGATAAATTTTAGAAACCTAATACCAAATTTTTAAAAAAGAAAGTAGTCCCCAAAACTACATTTAGTACATAACTTAGTAAAGCCTCAAAACAAGCATAATTAAACAATGTATCATTTAGTTTTACATACTAAGTGATAAAACTGTATGTTCTTAAAGGGCAAGGAAATGATAAACACAGAGTTGACATGACCTTGTCATGTCATGGTTTAGAATCACAAACTGTTGAATATGGAAGTGCTTTCTCATTTTACAGCTGAAAAAGGGGAGGTCTGGAGAAGAAGTTAAGTGACTCATATATTCATTCAATAAGTTTTAATGGAGCACTGTCATAGGAGTTTGGATATAAGAGACAATCCCTGCCCTTGTGGAGCTCACAATTTTAATTGAGCTGTGGGAGAACAAACACTTAGGCATAATAAGTAAGTTCTGTAGTATGTTAGTCATAAGTGCTATTGGAACAAAAAAAACTAGAGCAAAGTGGATCAAGAGCTCCAGGAGAGTGGTGGGGCAAGGACAGGCCATGGCATTAAATAGGGTGGGGAGGCCTCGTTGAGAAGGTGAGATGAGAACAAAACTTGAGGACAGTGAGGGCTATAGGCAAGTATGTATTTAGAGAAAGAGCTTTCCACAGGAGAGAGAAGTCAAGAGTGACTTCAGGGATTTGGGCTGGAGAAACTGGGAGGATGGAGCTGCATCCACTGAGATGGAGAAAGCTGCAAGTGAAGTGAATTTGTAGGTGATGGTCAGGACTTCCGTTGGAGACATGCTGGGTTAGACACGGCTGTTATCCAAGTGGAAGTGTCAAGTAAGCAGTAAAGCATACTCATCTAGAGTTCAAGATAGAAATCTGAAAAAAGTAAAAAATACATATCAGTGGCAGAATCAATACTAATTCAGTGCTTTTTGTGCCAGTCAGGGCCAGATAAATTTGAAAGCATTAACAGTTGAGTTTCATAGACATTAATACAATAGAAATGAATAGGAATATGATGAACCCTAAAAATGGAGTTAGAAAACATTTCTGAGTAGATTTTTTTCAAGTTATTTCTAAAAGATATAAATATAGCAGAATATACAATTATCCTCAAACTAGCATAATTGAGATAGCTTTTCCGAGGATTTATCTGTTATTTCGCATGTTATTTTCTATTATCTCTTTCTGTCTGTAGGTTACAAAGATTATGAGGCACTCTTTCAACAACATAAATAAGTGAAACAAATTCTGCAGGAAATTATGCAACATAGAGAATTCCAAAAAAATTATCCACATGTGGATTTTTATTGGCCCTGATCATGTTTTAGAATGAAATGATTATAACTCTGCCAAACTGCTTAGCACAGTTATAAAGGCAGGAGCAGGCTGTTGGAATGATTTGCAGAGAGAGAGAACTGAACTGATTACAGGGTGTTTTATTTGCATTACATTAAATCCAGAGCACTTCTTTAGAGCATGCTGAAAACCAAGTGTAGAGCCAAGGTACAATGACATCAGTTGGATGTGGTCAGTAAGTGTTTTAAGAGCTAAAAAAAGGAGCTGGAGATCCTCTAGTTTTTTATTTTGTAGCAAATAAAATTGAGTTACAGAGAGGTTAAGTGACTTCTCTAAAGTCACTGGGGACAGAACTGTGTCTAGAACCCATACCCAGGCCAGTACACCTTTAGCCATAGGTTGCTGCTTAAAATTTACTTTGTCATTTTGTATATCACTTCACAGGGTTTCTTCCGGAGGACAATCAGATTGAAGCTTATTTATGATAGGTGTGATCTTAACTGTCGGATCCACAAAAAAAGCAGAAATAAATGTCAGTACTGTCGGTTTCAGAAATGCCTTGCAGTGGGGATGTCTCATAATGGTAAGTGAACGCAGATCACCATATATTTTATTATTCCCATTATAGTGTCAGTGGACATTAGGGCCATTACTGAAAATATGTACAGTTTTTCCACAAAATTCCAGAATTCAGGATATCGCATGCTGATACAACATTTCTCATTTAGGTTAGTGTTTGTAAGCTTTTAGTAGGGAATCCTTCTCTGTGGTTGGCATCTGCTGTGATGAGAGAAGAGACTTGAAAATGTGGGAGATGATGGAAAAAACTGTTGTGTTTTAAAACACATGTAATGATAATTATGATTAATTTTTATGCTGCTTTAATAGCATTAAAAACAGAATTATACATGCCTGTAATCCTAGCTCTCTGGGAGGCCGAGGCAGGCGGATTGCTCGAGGTCAGGAGTTCAAAACCAGCCTGAGCAAGAGCGAGACCCCGTCTCTACTATAAATAGAAATCAATTAATTGGCCAACTGATATATATATGTATAAAAAAAAATTCGCTGGGCATGGTGGCGCATGCCTGTAGTCCCAGCTACTCGGGAGGCTGAGGCAGTAGGATCGCTTGAGCCCAGGAGTTTGAGGTTGCTGTGAGCTAGGCTGACACCATGGCACTTACTCTAGCCTGGACAACAAAGCGAGACTCTGTCTCAAAAAAAAAAAAAAAAAAAACCAGAATTATATTTTATTAATACTTTTAATACTATTATATATATCAGTATTTTCTTTCTGCTTTAAGAAAATCCTGAAGATTTCTGGGTATGGAACTTTTAAGTGGCATATAAGAATTTAGATTTATTTACTATTTAAAAAAATTTTTTTGCACTTTACTGTGCGAAGATGAGTATAGTGCTATCCTTGACTTCAAGGAACATACAGAGTTGTGAAGAGGAAAAAGCAAATATTTTAAAGTTCTATAAAATTTCAATGCCATAGAAACATAAGAGAATAAAACTTTCTATTTTTTAAACCTGTATCTAAAATCAAGCCTCAGGGAAATAATGAGGAAGACTCGAGAAGGACACGCATGTTTTCATGAGCTCTAGAACTAACTTAGTAAAACCATGGAAGATAGGCCTGTTTAAAGAAAGAATTCTTCAGCACCATTTGTTCTGATTGGTTGACTGGCCCACAAAACAAATTTTAGATTGTAACTTGATGGTATTACATTTGTCAAATATTAGTTCTTTCAGTGGACTCAAACAACAGAATGCTTAAGTGATCAAATAAATCTGAAGTTTCATTTCATTTGGTAGACTACTTTTTTCTTTCTTTTGCTTTCATCTCTCTCAAAACTGATCTGGTAAGAGGATAATCACTGAAGTGAATCTTTATCTATATGGACTCTAAAGCATCTGAGAAAATTAAATTTTTGTTCTATCATGCAAATGTTTGGTTTTCATAGTGGAAACCATCAAGATATTTGGGAATCCAAATGATCCAGTGACACTCTACAAAAAAGACACCTGCACTCGAATGTTTATAGCAGCACAATTCATAATTGCAAGGCTGTGAAAACAGCCCAAGTGCCCATCAATCCAAGAATGGATTAATAAAATGTGGTATATGTATACCATGAAGTACTATTCAGCTCTAAGAAACAATGGTGATATAGCACATCTTATATTTTCCTGGTTAGAGCTGGAACCCACACTATTAAGTGAAGTTTCCCAAGAATGGAAAAATAAGCACCACATATACTCACCAGCAAATTGGTATTAACTGAACAGCATCTAAGTGGTCACATAGGTACTACAGTAATAGGGTATTGGGCAGGGGGGAGGGCAGAGGGGGCGAGTATATACATATATAATGAGTGAGATGTGCACCATCTGGGGGGTGGTCATGCTGGAGACTCAGACATGTGGGGGGGGAATGGGCATTTATTGAAACCTTAAAATCTGTACCCCCATAATATGCTGAAATAAAAAAGGAAAAAAAAAAGATATTTGGGAATCACTAAATGATTGATACCCTACCCTTTAAAAAAGTTTATAGAATTATATTTGTATCATTATTATTAGTTCCTCTAAAGACAAGAATGTATTTTGAATTGAGCTATCAACAATACTGAACAGGATGGAAATTTGGTCCAACTTTTCTCAACAATTGACTCCATCTGCTGTATAGCAGTATATAACTGCAGTCATGGGTTGCAAAATAATTTGCTGGTTTAATTCCATTAGTTTCCTTTTTATTTCAGACCTCATAAAACATTAAGGGCAAGTTTTCAAGTCAAGGGTTATATTTTAGGTGATGCAATCAAGTTGCAATAAACTTATTTCATGTTTATGAAGAAATCATTGACTTTGAGGTCATTATTACGGAGACAGCCTAGGAAAGTGTGCCAGTTCCACCTTTTCTATTTATTCTCGATTAAAAAAAGTGTGACTTCACACATTCATGTAAAATATAATTCCTATTACTTAGCAGGCACTGCACACATGGATGTAGAATATATTTCCTATTGCTCATAGGCATTATACACATCCACATAAAATAAATCTTTTATTGCTTATTGTTTATATGCAAATATTATTTAAAGCCCAACCTATGTAATATGGATGGTAAAATTTTCTCCTTCCAGAAAAGTCAAAGAAAGCTATCGTAAATGTGCTGATAGGGTAATCTTCTGACTTCATTTAGCAATTACTTGCTCTGTTTAGGGAGAGGGCGGTCTGGGAGCACGCAGCTCTTCCAGCAAAGGCAAGAGAAATAGGAATTAGATATTATGACATCAGAAACTTATGCAGTCCAACACTTAAAGGATTCGAAACACGACTAAGAAAATCCTTTCTTAGGGTTTTTATGGGAATTTGTTTGCTACACAAAAAAGAAAACATCAAACTCAACAACTAGATTTTGATTAGTTTTGCCTATTATGATGAAGAAAACATTTCTAAATGTAAAGTTTTCTAGGACGTTGTAGTCACTATTTAAAATCCATGGCTTTGGCCAATGTGAAGCCAGTAGTTACAAGGTTTTTATTCCTATAGAATGCCTTTTTAAGTTATCAAAAGAAGCTTCTAGTGTTATACCCAAGTCAGCACCCAGCTGTTTTCAGTATGCACAAGAAGCCATGAACATACCCCAAAGCACATCGACTCTTTTCTGTGTTACTTTCATTTCTGCTCTTTGGTCTCCATTTAGTCCATCCGATACACTTAGCTTCTCCCTTGCCATGTTCTCACAGCTTGGAAGGAGGCTTCTAGAGTAACCATTAGGGAACCCCCACGGCCCTAGGGAGTATTAGTGAACAGTCACTGAATTGAAACGATCACTATGTCCTTTCAACTTTGAAAATTCTATATCAAACAACCAAACCCACTGAATTTTTCACTTTTCAATCAGCTATTCTGTACCTTGTAGACAGTGTTACTGTCTGCCCAAATATATAGGCACCAGGAACACCAGTTGCCTGAATTTAAAAGTTTTTACCTATGTGTTTTGGTGCCATAAAAGTGTAATTCATACGCCTGAATCAGGTCTATATGTTCTGATCAATTGTGCAGCAATTTAAGGCAGTTAGTTTGATGATTGTCTGGGGATGTGACCCGGCTCCACAGTACAAATCTGAAGTAGTCTGGGTTAAGGAAAGTATAAATGGTATATTAGGCTATGTATGGTTAAAGCTCTTTGGAAGGAACTTTTATTTTGATTGTGACATGTAGCCTAAATGTTGTAGAAGAATGTAATTTCAGAATTCTTCTGGTTGGAAACATAGTTGTTTCTCAAATAGTCATTTTCACCATTGGGTAGAAAAGTACCCAGGTGTTCAATTGACTGGTATGCTTTGGAAACACATTTTTGTTTTTCTATAAGTAATGAAGATAAACACATGTTCCAATTATTTTGGTCACGTAACAGTCCATCATTTCTAGACCATGGGTTAATCCCACTGATTGCTCAGAAGTCTTCCTGAGTCATCTCAAACACAATCAATTCAATACCATGTCTAGACACCACTTGAGAGGAAAGCTCAAAATGAAAATAAAGCAGAAATAAATACCCACTTCCGAGGCCACCCAGAGGTGCATGTAACTTACTAAGTGATTGTTGTTGCATCAGCTACTATTTGTTAGTGAAGCTGGTATCTACGGAATCTTGATAAAAATACTTGCAGTCAAATGAGCACTTGCACACATTTTTATAGTTTTTTGAAGTAATGATTTTGATTTTAAGTTTTCCTGTCAGTCCCTTGATATCAATCATATTTTTAAAATGTGTCCTCTTTATTTCTAATGAAATCATTTAGTCATTAAGAATTTTGACTAGTAAATAATTCCTGCTCATTCAGAGCTGCTTTTTATAAATGAACTAAATAATAAAATAATAAGTTTAGGCTAAGTGCATTTTTTAAAATTTTAAATTTTTTTAAGAGATGGGTTTTCCCTGTGTTGCCCAGGCTGGGCCAGAATGCCTGGGCTCCAGTGATCCTCCCACCTCAGCCTTCTGAGTAGCGGAGACTACAGGCGAGCACCACTGCACCCAGCTGAGGTGCATTTTTAAAAATAACCTAAAGGAGAAAAAAATTAACTTATGTTATTTATGAGTCATTCAGTTAGGTTTTCCCTATAACACTGAGATTTGATAAAAATTACATTTTTCACAAATTAGTGTAATCTTACCTTTGCCGATTAGGATATCCTATGATATAAATGATAGGTTTTTTTTTCTTGTATTTAAAACAAAAAGCCGACGACATTAAAATAATCTCTTAGTAGCTTCATAAAAATCCAGAAAAATAGTTTCACCAATTTTTGCAGCACTCAGCAATTTTAAGGTAGTTTTCTCAATGCTGTGTAAGCTCTATTCTATATTGGGAAAGGGGGGAAATGGCAAATAGATTTAAACATTAACCTATTCCTTTATTTTTCTTTAGTCTTCTTTGAGATGTAAAGGAAAATTACCCAAATGTTGATTTTCAGAAAAGCTGACAGTCCTAATGCACATGGCAGCAGGGCCACACAGGCAGTTCTGCCACTGGACGCGGGTGGCGGCCAGCACCACCGAGGTGGAAC